TTGCAAAAAGCTACTGTATATATTACAGGTTGTTATATTAGCAAATGACAGTTGTATCAAATATTGTACATCTAGCATTATATACAAAGGCAACAGTTATATTTAGACCTAGAAGTGTGAATATGTGTTAAACTTCTAGATTGCACTTAGAAATTATTTGTAAGTTGTTAGCTGAGTGTATATAGAAATCTTGAAGTGTATAGTTTATGTGAACTTTATGGCTCAGTGGTTAAAATGTGCATGTTTCAATAAATAGCTTGAAAGTAGTAACATTGGGGTTCAATTTTCATTGGGGCCATTCTTTTTTTCTTTCTTTTTTCCTAAATATTATGCTTGTACAGAGCTATCAATATGTTGTGTAGCATATGAAATCTGTATAGAATTAAATTTGAGTTTGGTACATTGATTTTGAAGCTAAGAATACTGAAATAACAGCCTATTAACAAGAAATAACAGCTCATTAACATCAAATAACAGTTGATGAATATCAAATAAATAGCTAATGAACAGCTTGTAAACAGTTCATGAATGAATTATTACATTAGTATTAATTTACTATTGGAAATGTAAGCATAATAGAGGGGGTCAGTTAATTAATGTTATTATATTAATTAGTGTTGATTAGTACTATTTAGTAGTAATTAACTTTGTGAGCTTTTCCAGATGCCGTTCTTGTAGAAGGTTGTCAAAGGTGATCCAGAGCTGCTAAAAAGACAGGGTGAAAGATAAGTAGAAGCTAGCCACCGAGTAGACTCTGTGGCAGATAGGTGGTGAGTTAAAGGCAGAGGAGGGAGGCATGAGAAGGTGATGGAAGTGAATAGCTGTGTGTTGGAGTGATCAGATACTGCCAGACCAGAGTGCTATTGGGTTGATGCACTGGTGATGCACCGCTTGCTAACATTTACTTAGTCAAGTTAGTTTACATAGTCCCAGCTGCAGATCTCAGAAATTTGCAGCTAGAACTACGTCAGCCAAGTTGACTAATCACTTAGGCGTGACTTTTTGCCCAGCTCTTTTGCTGTGTTCTGGATGCATATAGTAGGTGGGGGTTGAGAAGGTGGAAGCAAAGCTCAGCCAGGGGCAATGGCAACATATAGTCTGCTGCTGGAGGCCTGAAAGCCAGGAACTGCCTGCCCAATCGAGTTAAAGCTCTAGGTCTGAAACGGGCACTATATGGCCACGCAACATAATGTTTGACACTTGTATGAATTGGAAAACATGCCCTCACTCTGCATCTTCCCACTTGCTACTCTTGCCCACTCTTGCCTGTTCTTGCCCTCCCTCGTATTGATAAGAGTTTACTCTTATCCTTGGCCTGGAGTAATGCTCAAGATCTCTGGTGATCATGGCCTGAGGTCATTCAGAGTCTACTCTGCATCTTCTCATCTTTGTCATTGTTCTAGGCAATCTTAATGATACTCCCCTAGCTCTCCTCATCTTTCTTGCTAGTTGTGCATGTCAAGCTGTAAGAACGGCGCTCGGGCAGGCCTACCTCGGATCACCGAGGAGGTGCAGCCCCGACGGTGTCCCGATCACGCGCCAGTGCACTGTCTAAGCGCTCAATTCATTAGATAAGTGTTTCAGACTCTCGAGCTCATAAAGCTCAAGGCATTGGCCTAGGTAGAATGTTCCTAACTCTCTCACGTGTACACTGTATATCTAGGACTTGAATAAAGTCAGTTCAGATTCACAGTGCGAGTGAGAGAACACCTCCCACGACAACCTTACACTTTTTTGAATTCCCTAAAGACTTATTCAACTTCTACACTACAGGATTGTGGGAGAATACCGTGGTCACTCTGTAAAATTATAACCTACCCTACCGAAGATCCACCATAGGCAGAAGACCCTAAAGAAACCCTTATCGGGCAGCCTCAGAAGGCTTGCAAGCCAACGCAAACTTTTCTGGTGCTGCATCAATGCCACAAAGCTCAAATACTGGCACACCAACAGCGCCTGGAAGCAATCACTGAGACCCTGGACCTGGGAGAAGCACTGACAACCGCCATCAGCCTGCTCATCAAACGATAGACTGCCCAGCAATTCTAGATTCCAGCGCATCACAGTCTTTCCAAATTGGAATGTTGACTTCAACGCCCAGCTCTGCTCTACTCAGAACTGTGGGAGACACCATGATAAAGGAAGAGGAGAGTGGAAGGAGCCCTCAATGGACCGCAAGTAGCGACTGCGACTACTCCCATGAAGAACAAGCAGAGTCATGCGCAGACCAGAGCTGGCTGAGCCTGCTGACTGAGCAATCGGAAGGCAAGGCTGACGTGTCCCTTGGTGCACGCAAAGGGGCTTTGTTCTACTTAGAAGCCCCAGAAGACGTCAGTAACAACTCGACAAGAGAAGAAGAGAACGCGAGAGATGAGATACCCTTGGCAGCCCAAGTAATGGGCGAAATCGACAAGATGTACGCCGAACTCGGGCAAATTGGCATGGAACTCGTAACCGCCCATGACAGCGACTTGTCAGCAAGGTGACGACAAAGAGCCAAACAAGAACAAGAGGAAAAAGAGCAGGATACGCATGAGCAGGGAATACAAAACCTGGTATTAAACCAGATAAAGTACCTGCAACATGCCGCTCAATAACTTGGCCCTTCACAGAAGCCTGCAACAAGCAACAAGCGCAATGCAGGGCCCAGTGGAGTGTAACATACACTGAACAATACGCCGCCTCCAGCCTCCAGCAAGGAGAACCCGCTGGAAGAGCAGAGCACACCAGACTCTGAATGAGAGTTCGAGGAGCTCCCACATCTCCCATCAGAGACGCGTGAAGCGTACCAACAGTGCAAGCGGACTTATGTCTGCTGGCTCAAACAACAAAAAGACAATGGGCTGGAAATACCCAAACCTGCCAAGAATCGACAATCCAGTGAACATCCAGAGGACTCGCATGTGCAGGACGACGTACGTTCTCATCACAGCAAGTCCCCAAATATTCGTCTTTGTGAAGCAAAATTGCTTCACGGAAATGAGGCACTTGAACCTGAAGAGGCACAGAGTGAGTGAATAGACTCATTCAGTGAACAGCTGGATGAGGACCATTCAGGCTATGTTCCAGAGGCTCAATATGGAAGATTCTTGAAGTATGACATGTATCAGAGATACACCAATGCTGCAGGGCCTTCTCAACGTGACAGCAGCGAGGAGGACAACAGTGACAGTCAAAGTCCTCAGCAAACTAACCAGGCTCATTCCTCAATGAATAATGCACCAACAGGTGCGCGAGGACCTCCGTTTCACCCAAGAGCACATTTCATGATGTTCCGTGGTGGCTATCAGAATGTGGGCACCTGAGGGTATGCTGCGTTATAATAGCCCCAAAAACCACCACCTACCGCAACAGAAGCATTTGGGGGTTCTGGAGGCCCTAGACAACCACCTGGAGGTCCCGGATGACCACCTAAAGGCTCTGGAGGCTCTGAAAGATCACCTGGAGGTTCAAATAATTCTACTGAAGGTACAGGAGAACTCTGTCCTCGAAAGGGACTAGCAACTAGCAGTGCTTTGTGTGCTGGAGCGTATTACCTGCTTACTGTACAAGGGCCAAGCCTGTTTGTGGCAGCACGAACTGCTCCCACATATGTAGACCCCGGCGTACTACGTAGCATGCGTGCAATAGAAGAAATTATTGATTATTAACTAAGTGAGAGTCTGCCGCAAGGTGTGAACCCATCTAAGATGTCCCAAGTCAAACCACCTACTGTGTACGGGGGTGATGATGACGCAGAAGAATTTGAGCGATTCATCTCGCAACTCGTAGATGTCATGAATATGCAGAATAAGTGTGGCGAGGCCTATGAATGGCATTGCCTGACGTACTTCAGCTACTGCCCGACTGGCCAGGCCGAAAAGTGGTTTTGTGAGCAAGTATGGAGGCTGTACTATGTGCATAGAGTGCCGTGGATGTTTAGAGAGGCTGCTCGAGCAATGTATATGCGCTTCATTCACAAGAGTGATGCAAGGGGTACTGCAACGCAGTTTGACTGTATCACTTACTCATCTACAGGAGGAGTAACCAATTGTTTAACAATCTGACATGTGCTGCCAACTGCATGCATGTCAAACCGTCAGACTATGGGATTGTCTGCAGGTTCATCAGACGATTGCCGTTGCAAATTTGCAAAGATTTGTTTAGGATCCACAACGTCACTGCAGAGAACTTGACACTAGAGCATGTGTATGGTATTGCCCACTGGATCAAGAATAACCTTAAGACAAACGGCATTGCTATATGCACAAGCACATCGAACCACCCTGCACAACAAAGCACAAGAGCAGCCAATAACCAGTCCGCATTGATACCAAGCACAGACACCCAAGAACAGTCGGATAGGACGTATCAACTTGGATCCAACTCCAGGAGAGACTCACAACAAAACCGGCAACCGCAGGCTTCACAAAATCAATCAGACAACCAGCATGACTCCTGTCCAATGCATTCCATGATGGTTACCCCGCGAAACAAACAATTGTCATCAAGGCAAGACCAGCAATCTAGGATGAATAATCCTAAAGGCAAGCTAGTTAACAAGTCCACTGTACGATGCTTCAAGTGTAATTGCCTTGGACACTACTCTACCGACTGAGAATGCTCCAAATATAGTAAAGGGGCAATTAGAATTGTCGAAGTACAGGCTGATGGCCATGACGAACTGACGAATGACTGAGAGCCCGAGGCTGGGCCGTCAAATTCACAGGATACTGGAGAGCTCCTCCATATCAACAAGGACAGACAGTTGTTTTGTGGCAAAACACAAGATGAGCACGGGGAGACTGACAACTATTCAGTTGATAGATCCCAGTAAAAGTCTAATGGTGACGGCACCAAATACACCTACTCTTATAACGACTGGGGACAAGAGTCTGAAGATGAATACTTCCAGCCATACATCCTCAATGACTGGGTGGAGGACGAGGATGAGTTTTGGGCCAGTGCCATAGATATCTCTGATTCTAACGCAGCTATTACTCATACTGCTAGTGATCAGTATGAACTAATGGATACCTGTGACCCATTTGCCCCTTACCTAGAATTAGAGTGTCTTCCAACGGTGGTGCCGGAATGGGTACAACTGAAAGCCATCGCCAATCACAAAGTGGATTGACTTGCCTGGCTGCCTGCGGCTATGGCCATGAGCAATGACTTGCAAGATGACGAGGAACTCCCTGCCTTCGAAAGAATTCCTGAGAGCGAAAGAGATCAGGATGTAATGGTACTAATCTCACCACCATCTAGCGATAGAACTGGACCACCTGCGTTGGTCCTATTCATTGGTGGCCGCAGCAACAACGAGACCAAGGGAGAAACCTCAGACTCCACTGCTGACCGCTCACCGATGAAAGTAACAGAAGACAACGCATCAGTGGTGGACCATCAATGACAATCGGAGGAAGAGCACGCGGCGTACACATTGACTTTAGTGGTGGGACCGCTGTTCTTAGACAATGTATACCATTGCTATTACAACTTGACCAGCACCAACTTCCTGCTACAAGTGCAAGCGCACATGCAAGAAGAGCAGCTAGAGCGTGACTGTTTCCATGGCTGCATTGCAAACCTCACACAGAAAGTGATGGCTGCATGCAGTGAAGCACACATTTTACGAGAGGACCATAAATTGCTCTGTAACAAGGGGCTGCCAACCAATATTGATAATCTGATCAGACCACCTGGCTGATCCTCCACAAGAGACCGCTCTCCAGTGCAATGTGCTTCTAGGGGACAGTCTATCCACCATCAGTTAATGGGACAAATGACGACGGGCAATGGCGAGGTCAACTAAATGGAGGGTTTGTCTTCAATACCTGACCACTCACAAACAGCCCAGGAACAGCCTGTAACTCGTATGCAAAATGCGTATCTTCGACTGCAATGCACTCAGGATAGTCTTCGACATGCCCAGGGCAAGATGGCACTACTGCAAGATCAGCTTCAAAATTTGCGACATGACTTTCACTTGCTGCAAAAAGCTGCAAGCCAAGGTGTTACACGCCCTGTAATCAATAAGGTGTTCGAGCACACTGCGGAACGTGACCTGGCAGAGCAAAACTACACCCATCATGTACTGCGGCCAAGGAATGCTTTATTCACTGCGACCGTGATTACTTACACCTCTGTGTCATTTGATGACAATCAGGATGTGGTCAACACAAACATGTTGGGCTATGAGAACTGTGTCAACTGCCTTGACGACAACAATCTAGAGTACGTTGACCAAGCAGAGAACTCCGTAGTAGATGAAATGTCCACTTCTGGAGATCATTTGCTTATGGTTGAATCTCAACTTGCTAGCCGTGCAGCGATACAACTACAGGGCACGGCCAGAGAGAGACCACTGGCTTGTGGCTTCTCAATGGCCATATGAGCCACCATTTGCGGTCTGAAGGTGAAGGTTCTTCTAGACACAAAAAGCACCATTAATGCAATGAGTCCAGAATACACCTGCATTGCTGGGATAGCACCGTTCTCTCTCAGCAACCCCATTTCCCTACAATTAGAGTGTGTAGGCAGCCGCTTGAAGGTGAACTTTGGCACAGAAACCTTATTAATTATTGCGGGAGATAACCACAGAATATACTAGAATATCGTGAATATACCTAAATACGATGTAGTTCTTGGACTACCTTTCATGCATCAAACAAAGATGGTGCTCGATTTTGGGAATTACACCATACGCATTGGCAACACCTCGCTGCTTGTGCTGCAGGGGGAGAGAAATGTTATAAAACATACAAACACCTATAACCAATGTAACAACAATGATCTGGCCTCCATGCACTCAATGCGCATGGTCGAATCATTCCAGAAGTGACTAGTTTCTGCAGGCTAACAGCTCGCAGCCCAAGTGCAGAGCTCGGATAACTCTGCACTTAAGAGGAATAAGCAGTCCAATGGAGCTAATTACGTGCATTCAATAGACCCTCAAGTGTGGATAGAAGAACTGAAGAACAAACTCGACCGAAAAATCATGGAAAAAGAAATTACAGAACCTTTTATATTCAAAGCTAAGGAACAACCACCCTTCTACCTGAGAGATGCTTTGGTGAAGCCTGAGGAGTTCAAGCCCTTGGGATACTCGAAGGATGACACATCCAGACTTAAGAAAGAATGGTTCGAGCATTACAAGGATATCACTAGTGGAGTCCCAGAGGTTTCCCCTTTATTTCACGACATTAACCACCACATACCTTTGATTGATGAGAAGAAAATCTATGATTACCACATGCCTTACTGCACTGAAGCCCTAAAGATTAGGTTTAAGGACAAACTATCTTGCTACCAAGCAGTGGGGTAGTGGCATTTAATAACTACACCCCAGGCAACACCTATGATTGTACTTCAAAAGCACGACAAGATAAGCATTTGAACAGTGGTTAACTGCAGGAAATGCAATAATAACACTGTGAAAGACCTGACACCCTTTCCAGATCAAGACCAGATTCAGATGGACATGGCACGAGCTTCTGTAAGGTCGAAAATCGATCTATCGGACGTGTACGAATAAATTTGGGTTGACAAGTCAGACGTCAGGAAGACTGCCTTCTCAACAATCTTTGGTACCTTTGAAAGCATTGTGTTACAGCAAGGGGACTGCAACGGACCTGCTACATTCCAACACCTGATGACACACATATTTCAGCCCTATATAAAAGTATTTATGCATGTCTACCTGAACAATATCTTTGTATTTTTGGATTCCATCGAGGAACATGAGAAACATCTCAAAATCATGTTCTCTATACATCGCAAACAACAGCTATACCTAAAGGCCTCCAAGTGTGACCTCTATTTGACATGGATGGACTGCCTAGGCCACATCGTTGATGACCATGGCCTTCACACTGACTTGGACAAAATGGCTCAAGTTTATAACTGGCACACACCTTAAAACTACAACAACGTGCAGAAGTTCCTTAGACTTATACAGTACCTAGCGCATTTCATGCCCGATGTATCTGCTTATATGGAGCCATTGGCAGAGATGACTAGGAATGGCCTATCATTCGAGTGGCAACCTATTTATCAAAAGTGCTTTGAATTGATAAAATACCTAGTGTGCAAAGCTTCTATATTGAAACCAATAGACCTGCGACACGATGAACCCATCTGGGTAATTTGCGATGCATCGATATCGGGAGTAGGCACCATGTACGGATAGGGGCCAGACTGGCAACACTGTCGCCCTGCCGGCTTCATGTCCCGCAAGTTGACTAATACACAACACGCCTACCAAATGTTTGAGCTCAAAATGATCGCCATATTAGAAGCATTGTACAAGTGGGAAGATAAGCTGCTGGGACAAAGCATTCGTATTATAACTGACCACAAGGCTCTCAAATTTTTCAAGACTCAAGCTCACCTGTCTAATCGCCAGACCCATTAGATGGAATTCCTCACTCGGTTTGACTATCAGATCGAGTACATTAAAGAAATCACCAACAAGGTGGCAGACTGTTTATCCAGGTACTACGAAAGCAACGAAGAAGGAAAGATGCATCCCTATGACGAGTATGTCAGTGCAGATTACAGGATAAATCCTGAAGGTGAACCTACCCTTCCATCGACTCAAGGAAGTACAATCAGTGCGCATGGGACCAACAGAGGAAGATAGACCTTTGCCAGCCCGCGGTCTGATTACTCGCAAAGAGCTTCGGGTGGCCAAAGCTGCCCCAAGTGATCCACCTCTGACAGAACTAGATCCTCTCATCTTCGAGGATGAGAGTTTGCAACCGCTGACCAGAGATTTTGACACTGACGTCGAGTTCATGGAGTGTGTAAGGCTGGGCTATTTTGAGGATGCAACGTTCTCGAAGATCCTGGCTAATCCTGCTCACTTCAAGATCTTCAAGGTACAAAGTGGCCTAATTTTCATGAGAAACAGGCTGCAGCACTGTGTGCTTTGTATCCCCAGGTCAAATTCAAAAAGAACGCACTAGTCAGACTGATAATTGACCATGCCCATATGGTCCTCGGCCATTTTGGTATCTGAAAAACCAATGACTATATTCGGCACTGGTACTGGTGGCCTACTCTCAGTCGAGACATGGAGAAGTTCTGCACATCATGTGGTGTTTGCCAAACAACTAAGCCCTCCACCCAAATGCCTGCTGGCCTACTTCACAGTCTGCCCATCCCTAGGCGACCTTGGGGATTCATTGCTATGGATTTCCTAGGGCCTCTTCTAGAGGACGAGGAATTTGACTTCCTCTAGGTTGTCCTTTATCAGATGACAAGTAATGTACACCTAATCCCTCTCACTACAACGACGAGATCCTCTGATCTCGCCTAGGTCTTCATCAAGGAGATTGTCTGCCTGCACGGTCTGCTGGACGACGCCGTCTCTGACTGCAATACTAGATTCACGTCTAGATTGTGGAGAGAGGTAATGCGTCTGCTGGGTATCAAACAACTTATGTCAACAGCGTTTCACCTGCAAACCGATAAAGCCATGGAGAGGGCCAATCGCTCTATTGAACAAATATTGAGAGCATTTATCAGCCCAGGCCAGAAGAACTGGGTCTTCAAACTGCTGATGGTCGAATTTACCCTCAATTCATCCATCAACTCATTTACTGGCTACGCCCCTTTTGAGCTAGTCCAGGGTACAATGCCACGCATGATTAAGGTAGTTTCTACCAATAATCTAGTGCCAGATGCCAAGGCCTTCGCTGAATGCACTGTACTCAATTTGCTCGCGGCACATGTCGTGATAATCGATAGCCAGGTACATCAAACCTACCATGCAAACTGGAGAAAACGCGATGAAGACAAGCATTGCAGTGAGCAGAGCCTGCTTTAACCAGGCAACAAAGTCTATTTGTCCATGGAGAATATCAGTCTCCTGAAGGGACAAACAAGGAAGCTCACACCATACTATATTGGACCATTCAGTATAGTGGACGGCAATTTTTTAACATCTTCATACACGTTAGACTTATCAGAAGACCTCAAAACCTGTGGATTACATCCAAGATTCCATGTTAGCCTACTCAGAAGACACAAACAAATTGACAAGATCCTATTTCCTCATAGAGAAACGCAAGTTTATTACAACATTGATACTTCAGAAGATATGGAATGGTTAGTGGACAAAACAAAAGCACACAAATGTGTTGGGAAGAAGATAGAATTCGAAGTAAAATGGAATTATGGAGATACAACTTGGGAACTATGACCACTGCAAGAACCTAGTGGCCCTCGACTACTACCTTGACCAAATCGGGGTAAAGCACTGGTGAGCGCTACCATGCGCCGGTGCCAAGTGCAAACACATATAAGACCTCTTGACACACTCTCATTGCCAGAGTCCCATCATCTAGATAGAGCAGTTTTTAGATTACATAGACAAAGTTGGCTTGTGGACACACAGTCTGCAACTTGACCTCTAAGAGACCAACGGCTGCACAGCTCTCAACGGGGCAGATCCCCTTGAGAGGAACAAGAGTGCTACGGCCATTCTAGGCTGCAGCCTCAATACTCCTCTTCACAGTTGTACTCGCGACTATGACCGCCACACTCCATGTTGCATGACCGCCACCCAGAATTGCTGCCTGGCCAGCGCGAATAGGTGTACAACTCTAGTATCAAATGTGTGCAATATTGGGAGCGGTGCAGCAACTGTGCCATTTTTGTGAGCCACAGTTCTCTAGAAACGCAGCACCCTGACTACCTGGACGTAGTTCAGAACATGCAGGCCGACCTGTTGCGCAGGCTCCTAGAGAAGAACGTATAACTGTGACATGTGATACATAACCTAGAGTGATGCCTGAACTATTGACGCTCTACTGAATGTTGACCACGGCATCAATTCCTCTCACCAAGGCGCCCCACCATATTGACATCTACAGACAACGGCCACCAAAGGCATGTTGTCGGCGACTTACTCACCCGCATTGGCAATTGCAGCCTCACAGACAGACTGGAAGACATTTGACCAGGCCCTGCAGGCAGAGGTTCTCAGGACCTTGGCCATACTGACTAGGACCACAACATTGCAATGACTGAAGCAGGGCTAGAAGCTTGGCTGTCTGATGCAATTCGACCCCATCGCCAGCTATTGGCACAGGAAGTACACCGTTGGAGAACCACATACGCAGTGCTTCTGAAGTGTCTGGCAGCGGCACGCAACCTCTTGAGAATATGCAGCCTTTGAGAACACCATACGATGACTTTGACAACAAAGAGTTCAACAACTAATCCCAGCTGGAATTAGAGCTGCCATTAGATGCTGACATGAATCAGATTTGCAAACACAATTACCGCAGGAGCAAGTGCAAGAAAAAGAAAGCCAACATTGTGCTAGCAGACAAGCAACGCAGTGAAAGCAAGCACACGAACAAGCAGCGTGAGTGCCGCCGTGCCTCGCACAAAGTGAGCAAACTGCTGAAGTGATACAAAGCACATTTGGAGGAGGTGCCCGATGAACATTGGCCATGCGCTGGCAAATTCCCCACGGATTGGTTCATTTAGATCGATGAATTGCTCAGTGCCCTGACAGACGGGCCAATTGTTAGCCCCTCACCTGCTAAACGCGGAGCACAAGCCATGACCAAAGATATAGCGCAGGACTGCAAGAAGCAGCCATATGGCATCTGGAAAAACCCAGTTTGTTAATTTAACAGTAATTAGCAGTAATGGGTGTTCTTTCAACATTCATAAGATATTATTTCATTCTTGCTTTGTTAGGTGAAAGGTAATTAGTTAAATGAGTTCAGCTAACACTCTCTATATGTTAGATATAGTAACTGCATCTTATATCAGCTAATTTGTTCTCTCTTCATTAGTGCAAAACTTTTACTTTGTTAAATATGTTAATTAGTTCACTGTTTATTATAGAAATGTTAAAACTGTTATTTAATTCTCTGAATACTAATCTAAAGTTCTTGTTATTCAATTTTTGTTAGTTGTACACTATATCTACTAAGCAGTTATCCATTTGGTAAAGTTACATTATATTTGCTAATCTGTTCTCTGAGTGTTAATCACAAGTTTTTTGTGTACTATTTGTGTTAAAGGTACATTATATCTACTAAGCAATTCACTGTTTGTTATGATTACATTATATTTGCTAATCTGTTCTCTCAATACTAAACATAAGTTCTTTGTATGTTATTTCTGTCAAAGATATGTTCAATCTGTTAAACAGTTTACTATTTGTTATTGTTATATTATAAATGCTAATCTGTTCTTAGAATGCTATTTATACACTCATTGTATACTTTTCCTGTTAGCTATATACTTATTCTGCTGATCAATCTGCTATTTGTTAATATTATACTATAAATGTTAATCTGTTCTCAATATAGTAGCTGCAAGTTCTTTGTATGCTATTCATAGTAGCTACACAATCTATATGCTCAATAGATCATTGTTTGTCATTAATATAATCTAATATTAATCTGTTCTTTTAATATTAATTATAAGTCTTTTGCATATTATATTTGTTAGCTACATATTATTTACACATATTAGTTTACCATTTGTTATTAGTATACTATTAGTACTAATTTGCTCTGTAAATATTAGTTGAAAGTTTATATATTGAATGTACAAATTATTCTCTATTGAAAGATACATCTAATATTATATTATACATGCTTCAGCTATTATCAGTGCTTTTTAGAAATAAGTGTATATGGATGTTTTTATTATTTAACAAATATAATATTTCTATAGCTAAGCCATTTCAATAATGTGTCATATCTTTAATATGTTATAGCAGTGTCACATAGTATAAAATTTTGCTAAGGCACAGTTATATTTGATCTTGTGAACTATAGTATTTTATAGTTTTTATAATATATGCCTATTTTTTAGCCATTTTTGCTATATATTTTGTGCACTCAGTATTTGTATCAATATAATACCTTTTCAAAATGCTGCTGGTATTCTAGTGCGAGAGTTATATATATACTATTTAGTTTGCCATAGTAATTTTTTTTAAAATGTAGCAAAACTTTGATCTTTCTTTGTAGTGCCATGCATTAGTTTGAATAGTCATTGTATATTTTGTAGTATGTATAAAGTCATCTATACCTTTAAATATTTTTAATCCTTTTTTTATACTTTGACTACTGTTAATAAGTTTAGTTTTAACTTGTGCTGATTTTTATTATTTACTCTTATAGTTATACATTTTAGCTTCAAATCCAATTATTGTATTTGTAGTTCAAAAAAATGTAATTACTAGTAATATTAGCTAAATGTCATTAGTATTTAAAGTAAGTCATAAAAGTAAGTATAATTTGCAACATTTTTTAAACTATATTTAATAATGAAGCTCTTTTAAAAACTTCTTTTAAATGACGTATTTATATCTAATGATGTTAGATGTATTTAGGAGCTGAAATGACATTTTAATACTGTTTAAAGTTTATATCTCATATTTCAAACTGCTAATTGTCAAAGATTGCAGTAATACATTTTACAAATACAAGTAGTAGAATAAAATGCTAGTTTTAGAGCAAAAGGTAATATATACAGCTTCTAACATCACTAACATATTTTAGATACATAGACTAGCATTCGTGTTCCATTGCAAGAACAGCAAATAGTTTCTTTTTGCTAAGTACTAGCTAATAAGCTATATACAACTGTATTTATGTTATAAAGTGTCATATTTATTCTGCACTTTATTTATTACTATATGCATACTAACAACATGTTATTTTAACCAGCACATTCAATAGCTAAAACAATAGTTGATAATCTATTGCAAAAAGCTACTGTATATATTACAGGTTGTTATATTAGCAAATGACAGTTGTATCAAATATTGTACATCTAGCATTATATACAAAGGCAACAGTTATATTTAGACCTAGAAGTGTGAATATATATTAAACTTCTAGATTGCACTTAGAAATTATCTGTAAGTTGTTAGCTGAGTGTATATAGGAACATTGAACTGTAAGGTTTATATGAGTCTTATGGCTCAATAATTAAATTGTGCATGTTCTAATAGGTCGCTTGAAAATAATGAGACTGGAGTTCAATTTTCTTTGGGGCCATTCTTTTGTTTTTTCTTTTTTTTGAATATTATGCTTGTATAGAGCTATCAATATGGTGTATAGCATAAGAAATGTGTATAGAATTAAATTTGAGTTTAGTACATTGATTTTTGAAGCTAAGAATACTGAAATAACAGCCAATTAATATTTAATTAACAGTGAATAACAGTCAATTAACAAAAAATAACAGCTCATTAACACCACATAACAGTTGACGAATATCAGATGAATAGCTAATGCACAGCTCATAAACAGTTCATGAATAAATTACTATATTAGTGTTAATTTACTATTAGAAACATAAGCATAATAGAGGGGGTCAGTTAATTAATGTTACCATATTAATTAGTGTTAATTAGT